TTTTGTAAATAAACCCCTAAGTATGCTTTTCTGCTCACAGAATATAGACATATAACAGATTGTATGTATGATCCTTCCTTAAGGAAGAAATGTATTAAAATAGTTGGGAACTTTTTAGCAATCAGAAAAGGCTGAGACAATGTAGATTTTATTCAGAAGTATGTACTGGTGGTCAGTGGGAAAAGAATGCCACGGTGTCGGTGGTCAGTAGCTGAAAGAATGCCCTAGTATCCAATGTCAGTGGCAGGATAATTGCTCCAGGGCTTCTGGCACCCGCTGTCACTCTGGGGACCTACAGTGTGTTTGCTGCCCTCCCTTTTACTCCCCTGACACTAGTGGAATAAAGTTGTACTATTTTAATTTGTTTGGCACTTTAATTCCTCCATCTCCCTTTACTCCAGGCCTGGTGCCTAGTTGTTTAAAAGTAGGTATGAAAAAGTAGTAAAACAGGTTTCAACAAATAGAACAATTGGCTTTGTTCCCTATGCAGTGCAAATACAATAATCAGTGAAGCAAGAAAATAAGAGGTGGTTCAAACAGAAGTAGCTTTAGAATTGCCTTAGTATCTTATCATGAATATACACTACCTGTCGGAAAAAAAAAATGTCACAACTTGGATTTAGCTAAGCAAATAGGTAAGAGCCTTCCATTGGATAATTGGTCTAGGTTCAGCTACATTATGTCTCCCAAAAATGAGGTTGAATAACCAAGTTTTTACACAAATGGGTTTTTTCTTCCCTGATGGCACAGGCATATTCCAAGATTTTTGCCTTTTGCTTATTGTCGAAGCCTACAAATAGCTCAGGTCTAGCTTTGTCTGGGTAGATGAAGTGAAGCTAGAAGTGGGGGAAGATGCCATGTTGGAAAACATCTGTGGATTCACCAGAGATCTTTGGCAGAGTCCTGGAAGAGTGTTTTGCCAGGGTAAAGGATGCTCATTTTTATTTATGGTCATTCCACAAATGTCTGGAATTGTACAGGTATGCTTGATTAGGCTGATTATGCTAAATATCGCTGGAAACCCATGTTTGCATAAACTCTATAAATATACAAAGTTCTATATTGGATGGATTTGGTTGTATCTGTGCTGTACAACTTCATTTCATTTCTTGATGTGTGGTAGTACCCAGGGGTGTGAGAATCATATTCATGTCTTTTCTCATGATACTTGTAATAAGCATTATATATCTATGACTTTTGAATATTATGTTAGTCCAATAAGAAAGGTATCATTGCATACTACTTTTATTTGACATCATGTCTACTGGACTAATACGGCTTACCAATTTACATATCTATCCTTTTAATTTTGTACGTTTTTTTTTTTTTTT